AGTAGGAGATGGGGGTGTTCCAGGAGACAAGGGAAGAGAGTGCATCCATCCACACTGCCCAAAGGGGACCACCTTCTTCCAGTTCACGCACTTGATCATGGTCATACTAATACCTGCCAGGTGTTAGGAGGCAAAGGGCAGCCAACAACTCCCAATCAGAAAGGCCATGAGCAGATGATCACCACAGGCCATGCTCAGACAAGCCACACCAGCTCAATCTCTTTGACTGGAGGAACCAGCTTTTTGGAAACAGACCTTTTCAGGCCTTAGGCCTTGGGATCCTGACAGGAGATTCACTTCCCCTTCCACCATTGCTCTCCACACTTACTGTCTACTCCCTGCCTCATCTGTGAAGCCTGCAGGACATTCACCCTTGGACAATCTATACAGTTCTTCTAGGGAGAAACCAAGCTGCTTACTGAGAACATATAGTCTAGAAGCAGCATTGCCCACATAATTGAGATCCACAGAGAACCTGGATTAGCTGACAATATTGATTACCATGTGATTATCTATGACAAAGAGCAAGCAATGGAAAATCCCTGATCTTCTAATTTATAGTTTATTGACATTTCTTTACTTTTCCTTTTATTTTTAATATTTTTTACTTGCTTGCTTTAAGTACATATTTTGTAGAATCATATATTTGGAATTAAATTTTCACAAACTGGTAGAATTAATTTATTCATGTAAATTACTCACACAATAACTATTAATTGGGCACTTATTGTGAATCAGCTCACTATCCTAGATGCTGATTATACAGTTGTGAATAAAATAAAGTCCTTGCTGGCATAGAGCTTATAGTCTGGTAAGGAGACAGCAATGAAGAAATAAACACAGAAGACGGCAGAGTGTTTTCAGGAAAAGTAAACTAGAATAAAGACTTCAGGGAGTGGTGAACAGAGCTGGAAGTGTGTGTGGGAGGAGGATGTGTTATTTTATATAGAAAAGCCAGGAAGAACTTTTCATAAGTCAGCATTTGATGAGAGGCCTAACAAAAAGTGAGAGAGTAAGCCATGAATTCTGTCCTTCATTGGTCAAGATGCCCAAATCATACTCTAGAAAGACTATTGCAGGCTCTGAGCACACTGCCTTATCCTGTGGAAGTGGGGGTAACTGTGAATTGTCTTCCCATGTCCTATAGACTGAGATATGGTGACTTCATCTCCAACCAAAAACATTCTACCGTCTCCACTGTGAGCATGGGCTTGGCCAAAGTCTCTCAAAATCTTGGCTACTGTGCTGAAGACTTTCACACTCTTGGTTGGGGGATCCCCTAATCCCGTTAAATCTGGATCTTTCTTCCATTTCACCTGGTTTCCTATTTTACTTCAATAGTGATGGACAGTTTTGAAACCTGTTTGCACATCCCAACCTAAAACAGGTACCCTGAAGGAAGACTGAGTCTTTAGTACAGCTGTGGTCTAATTTACAAGGGAAGAAAGGTTGTGGGAGGGTTAGGAGTGTGAAGTACATAAGTAGAACACTTAAAAGGGAAGCGTGATGAGGCCCATAGGATGAAGTCTGGTAAATGGAAGTGGTATAAAGAAAAGCCATCAGTACTTTGAGATAAAAGAGAATAAAATGCAGAAACTATCTTAATGATGTTGGGAATAATAATTAGCCTATAGACAGTAGTAAAATATTATACAAGATGTAGTGTTAAAAGAAAGACACCATCAGCATCCTCACCCAAATACTGAACTAACTTCACATTATGTATTTAGGTGAAGACAAAAAAGGAAATCTGGAAATAAAATGATATGGGATCTGGAGCTCATTCAGAATGGAGAATGGGAGAGCTGTAGTTGAAAAATCTACATGCATCCTAGGCCGGGCATGGTGGTTTACACCTGTAATCCCAGCACTTTGGGAAGCCAAGGTGAGTGGATCACCTGAGGTCAGAGTTTGAGATCAACCTGACCAATGTGGTGAAACCCCATCTCTACTAAAGATACAAAAATTAGCCAGGGATGGTGGTGGGCACCTGTAGTCCCAGCTACTCAGGAGGCTGAGACAGAATTGCCTGAACCAGGGAGGCAGAAGTTGCAGCGAGCTGAGATTGCAGCACTGCACTCCAGCCTGGGTGACAGAGCTAGACTCCAACTCCAAAAAAAAAAAAAAAAAAAAAAATCTATATGCATCCTATTTCACCGTTTTTAGGTGAAATTTATTTTAGGCACTTCTTTATTTTTCCCAGTAACATTGAGCTCCATGGGCTTACATTTCTTGTAAGGCTAACTAATGAAATGCCACAGACCAGATTTTAAAAATATAAGTCTTCATAACTAACAAAAGAAATTACTGAGGGAGATGAAAGGAAAGGCCCTTCAACCCATGGTTGTGGAAGGAGAGAGAACATTCTGCACCATAACACTAACATAAAGAATCTGATTTGACAAAGCGTTAAATTGAGAAATTGCAAAAGAAGATCAGTCTTACTCTCTTTCAAAATATGGAAGCATGTCTTTTCATAACCATTACTGATTTGTTCTGTTCTCTGCTAACATAAACTTGTCCTTAGGAGAGCTATCGGAAGAGGTCTTGTGATAATCCCACAAAATAGAAAATTATTGCCATTTCTCATGAAACCAATTTCCAAAGAAACATGTAATTCTAATTAATTGTCTTATTTCATAATTTTTGGGCCTGGCCATAATATTTTAAGTGATACCTGGATCCCTAAACTGTATAAATGCTTGTAAGATTTTATATTAACTCAGTGCCATTCTAATTCTCTCATATGCAAGTAAGAAATGGACTATAGACTTCTTTTAAATAAAGATTTTGAGAGCCTTATCTCATTTAAATTCACTTCAGTTTTTATGTAATAGAAAAAGGATATTAATACTAACACATAAACGTATACAACGTATAAAACATTTTTAAAATGCCAGAATTATACAAAAAACATTTTCAGTGGAAGAACATAAGACAGGAATAAAAGAGTAAAAGTCTCTGTTCTTCCCAAATTAACCTGCAAGTTCAATGATTTTTTTTTTTTTTTTTTGAGACAGGGTCTTGTTCTGTCACCCAGGCCAGAGTGCAGTGGTGCAGTCTTGGCTCACTGTATCCTCTGCCTCCTGAGTTCAAACAATCCTCCTGCCTCAGCCTCCTGAGTAGTTGGGATTACAGGCGTAAGCCACCACACTCAGTCAGTTCAATGCATTTCTAATCAGAGCTTTTGATGGATTTGGGAAGGAGTTGGAAGAGATTTCTTGAGCTAATTCTAAAATTCACCCCCACTGGGGCATCGGGATGGTTCTACCTCTGAGCTCTTCTTTCTTTTCTGTAGTCCCTTCAATTACAAAAAAAAAACCAAAAACACAAAAACAAAAACAAAACATAGAATATAGACAGGTAAAGGCACTGTGTAATCAAAGTGGTGATTCAAATCACCATGCCATAGAGTGGAGAATATTTTGTAAATTCCCACTCACTTACACACAAAGGCAAATCCCATGTGGATTATATATATATACATTAAAAATGATCAGTTATATCAAACTTCTAGAATCAAATTTAGAACAATATTTTAAAAATCTTGAAGAAGAAATGACCATTGCAAATATGATATGGAACCTGGGAACTAGTCAGAAAAAGGCTGGCAAAATCAACAAAAATAAACAACGGGAAATGGGCTATCTATTCAATAAATGATGCTGGAATAACTGGCTGGACATACAAAGAAGAATGAAGCTGGACCCATAGTTCTCATCCTATGCAAAAATTAAGATGAATTAAAGATTTAAATGTAAGACCTAAAACTATAAAAATCCTAGAATAAAATCTAGGAAATACCCTTCCTGATATAGACCTTGGCAAATAATTTATAGCTAAGTTTCCAAAAACAATTGCAACTAAAACAAAAATTGTCAAGTGGAACCTAATTAAACTAAATAACTTCTGCACAACAAAAGAAATTACCAGAAGACTAAACAGACAGTCTTCAGAATGGGAGAAAATTTTTGCAAACTGTGCATATGACAAAGGTCTGATAACCAGAATCTAGAAGGAACTTAAACAAACCAACAAGCAAAAACCCAAAAATCCAATTTAAAAATGGGCAAAGGACATGAACAGACACTTCTCAAAAGAAAACATACAAGTGGTCAACAAACATATGAAAAAATGCCCAACATCACTAATCATCAGATAAATGCAAATCAAAATCACAAGTGAGATATCATCTCACACCACTCAGAATGGCTATTATTAAAAAGTCAAAAAAATTAAAATAACAGATGCTGGCAAGGTTTTGGAGGAAAAGGAACGCTTATACATGATTGGTGGGGGTGTAAAGTTAGTTCAACCATTGTGTAAGACAGTGTGGTGATTCCTCAAAGACCTAAAGACTGAAATACCATTTGACTCAGCAATCTCACTACCTTTAAGTATATACCCAAAGGAAAATAATTGATTCTATCAAAAAGATACATGCATTCATATGTTCTTTGTAGTGTTATTCACAATAGCAAAGACATGGAATCAACCTAGTTGCCCATTACAGTGAATTGGATAAAGAAAATGTGGCACACATATACACCATGAAACAGTATGCAGCCATAGAAAGAATGAAAACATGTCTTTTGCAACAACATAGGTGGAGCTGGAAGCTGTTATCCCAAGCAACTTAATGCAAGAACAGAAAACCAATTACTGCATGTTCTTACTTAGAAGTGGGAGCTAAAGATTGAATACACATGAATATGAAGATAGGAACAAGAGACACTGGGGATCACTAGATGGGGGAGGAAGAGACGGAGGGTGGCATGGGCTGAAGAACCACCTGTTCAGTACTATGCTTACTGCCTGGGTGATGGGATTTTTGGGACCCCAAGCCTCAGCACCACACAATTTACCCATGTAACAAACCTGCACATGTACCCTTTAATCTATAATAAAGGTTGAAAAAGAAAATAATGATAATAAGCCTTAGCATTAAAAAATAGTTCATTTGTAACATAAAAATTAAGTAAATTCTAATTTGTTCTTACTTCTTTTCCCACTGTGTTTTTCCAAAGTAGAATTGTTTTCAACATCCATGGTATCTAGAAAGTGACAGGTAGTGGTCAGAGAACTGTAATTTATAAGAAAAATTTACAAATCTTATGACAATTCATTCTACATGGAAGGCTTGGGTTTAAACAACATTCTGAGTATAATTTATCTGTCTTCTTTCCAAAGGAAACAGATACTGAATTGATGTCTAAGGTCTTCCTCTATTTCTCTGAGACTTTGAAACAGCTCCTAATTACTTAATTAGGCACCAGTTTCCTCATTTATGAAACAGGGATGGCAGCAGTTATCCTGTTCAGCTTTAAACTTTTTATGAATATTAAATATGATCTTATTTGCAAAAGTTAGTAGGAAATCACTATATAAATCAATAACAGACCAGGGGATATCTTTCAAAACTATGTGTTTTTAGCTTAAGAGTAGGTATCTGAGGCTTTTTCCTGACAGGTAGCAGGACTATCTGTCTTTTTAGGCCTTTCCAAAGTTGTGACAAAGTGGCACTATTACCTGTGAGTGGAAGAGTGCGTTTTTGTTTCTTTGTTTGTTGCAAGAAGAGTGGAACCTGCTTTATGTATTCAACGCTTAGCATTGATATGCTAATATAGCAAGTGAGATACTGCTGTTTTTACCAGTGTGTTTTCTACTACCTAAGAGAGCTCATTCTGCTAAACAAGAGTTTATAATGATCTCTTGCCTCCCAGCAGTTCCCAAAAGGGTCAGGTTAGGCAAATGCAGAGAACAGGATTCTGGCATGGACTGAACCTGTTCTTTGTCACAGTCTGCTCACAGTCAAGTGCAGCAGGAAAGGAAGGCTATGATTTCAGACTTTTGAAACTCTGAGGCTTGAGGCCTGTGATCCTACTTCCTGTTGGTGATCCAGAGACTGCTTGATGCTCCGCTTCAACTCTGATCACTTCCCACATCCCTACCCAGTGTCTGTGAAATCGACTGAGCCACTTCCATCCCGAGACCCTAGGGCAGCCTTACCCATCATGCCAGATGCTTGGCTACTTTCAGGCCTTGCTTCTTGGCTTCTTGGCACACCTTTTGGAAAACACATGACACAGGGGCACTTCTCATTTTCAGGTTCTTGTAGCTCTGATCCTAAATTGTGATTTGTAAAAATTTTTATTTGTGCTTACTCTCCTCCTGAGATTCTCCTTTCCCTCAATGTTAGTGATTACCCACTCCCCACAGCTAAATTAAGGGATGGGCGCTACCTCTGAAATCTTTTTCTTTTGTTGATCCTCACTGTATTTGTCCCTCCTGTTCATGAATAACCCTGAGAATTTCATCTTGAAATAAAGGGCCAATTAATAATATGTTTCAGTGATGGAGAACACTGGAGGAGCAAAGGCTGGTTTTAGGGAAAAAGGTGATGTGCCTAGTTTTGGAGGTGTTGAGACTGAAGTTTGAAGATACTGAGTGGTGAAATCTAAGGTCTTCAGGACCTCGGACAGGAGCCTTCTGACACTTGGATGCATGAGTTTAGAGGAGAGGGCTGGCTGGAGATACACAATGTAGGAATCGTGAGGTTGTGGGTGGTGACTGAAATTATAGGAGTGGATGAAATGCCTGGATGAGGCCTTTTGTAATCTGGGTGAGTCAGAGGGGCCAGGGGATAACTTACTCTGAAAACTTACTGCTATCATGAATCATATCTTGTGCTAAGGTTTCTTTTAACTCGTGGTCATTTCAGATCCCACAGTTTCTCCATCATTCTCTTCTCTCCCTTTTATACTTCCCTCTTCTCACCTCCATTTTCTCTCATGTTTTAATTCTTTATCTACATACTTGACATTGTACCACATTTTTTACACCACTCCATTTTATCACCCTTTCTGTGTGTCTCATTCCACCAGTTTTCCTGTTTACGTCTCTAGATCTAGTTTTATTATTGAGGTGAAATTCTTTCTACTGTCACTTGCCCCTTCTGTTCACTCTTCTAGCTTTGTTTCTCTGAATCTTATCTTGATCGTTTGACTGTTTTCACAATTTCAATCTTTGTCTTTATCCACATTTTCTTTATCTGTATTCATCTTTATCTCAGATTATTACCTTATCACCAAATGCCTGCTCTTGGGACACTGACCACATAGCCATCTCTATGTGGTCTGTTCCCTATGAGCTTTCTACCTTGCAGGGCTGTCAAACAATCACAAATTTTATTTTCACGTTTCTGGTACAATTTCTGAGAAGTATTTTGAAAATTATCCCTCTTCCCCCACAGAACTCCCTGACCTGGAATATTTGGATTCCTTGTCCACTTAGAAAAATTTGAAGCTGGCTCTTATGTCTTTTCATTTGGTGACTCCAGCCTGCCTTTCTCCACTTTTTTCCTTACTTTATCCGCTCAGTGTCTCCTCCTTCTATTCAGGAGCCAAGCTCTTCTTTTTCTTTTGGCTCCCTCAAACCCAGTCTGTGCACAATTCTCTGTGTGTGTGGTGTGTATGTGTGTGTGCATATGTTTTGGAGGAGAGGTAAGGAAAACAAACAACTTTTCCTCCACACAAGTGGGAAAACAGAGATAATTGATAATTAACATCATAATTTGCCTCTCCATCACAAGCTAATGGGCTGTATCTCTTCTGACTCTCTTTGTTTATTTATTGGAGGAGCTTTGAATTCACAGGACAATGAAGACAAACAAGGAAATAACAGACTATCAACAGTGAACAGGAAACCAGGGAACCTGTCTCAATGTGGTCATGCTGAGCTATCTTCAGAGCTTGGATGAACTGACAAAAAAATATACCTACATCAATGAGTACACCTCATAGCCCGACTCTATCTGGCCACATCTGATTCTCCTCTTGATTTCTTATTTTTTGCCCATTGCCCTGCTGCTATACATTTTTGTCTCTATCTCTTTGATTCTGTAAGCTCATCTCTGATTTTTTCTTGTCTCCTGTGTTGCTTTTTCTATTTTCATCAATGATGTTCTATTCTCCTCTATTTCTATGTTTATCCACTTTGCTTCTATCTTTATAGGTGTTTTGTATATTACATAGCTGGTTCCATTCCTATTCTCTCTGTTTCTGTGATTTTTATTTTTTCCTCCATAAAGATGTATATGTATTAACCTCTACATACACGCACACACTCATATGTTATATGTAATAAATATATGCATGTGTACACACACATACACACACACACACATTTGTTGTTAAATAACCTTTCTTGCATCAGGCACTGGTATAGTCTCCTGTGAATATCTGAGTTCCTTGTGCATCTTCTCTGGACTTTGACTTAAATGATACAGCTATTATCTTTCTGTCTGTTACATACAAAAGTCAACCATATGAGACACCTGGGTTGCTAGTCTCTATTGTTCTTAAGTTTTTTGGCCCTAATACTTCTGTCCATTTATTTCCTCACCCCAAAATGGGTATAGTGAGAGTTAGCCTGACTATGTCTTAAAAATTTTGTGATGACATCTGTACATCTATTTCCCTCACCCCAAAATGGGTATAGTAAGAGTCTGCCCATGTCTTAAAAATTTTGTGATGACAAAATAAGATCTTATTTGCCAAAATATATTGAAATAACACAATATAATCCAATTACATGATGAAGGACATCTGTCAAAAACTATACTAAAGTTTGAGAGTGTTTGATCTGAAGTTTTTATTTCTGTCTATAATTACATAGTAGGAGTAGTTGTCTTTAGTGGCTTTACAATTACAAATGACATTGATGTCAACCCATTTATTACTATAAAAACCTAAGATTTTAGTGTTAATAGGAATGAGAGCAGGTTTTAAAAAAGGATACCACAAGTTTGCTATTTATTTCTTCTACAACAGCAATATATAATTACATACATTTAGTCAGTGAGACTCATTCTGTTAAACATGAGTTTATCATAATTTCCTGCCTCCTTCCATTTTCTAAAATGCAAAAAGGAGCTCCCAGATGAACTGGATACAAGGCAGTCAAGGTGCTCAGAATAAAAAGGGTCTGGAAACGGTAGGTTTTAATTCAGATTCCTGACATTCTGCAGGCCAAGTCTTGGCATCCTAATCTTCTTTACCTGACCCACTTCTTAGGGGTGAGCTGCAGGTTTCCTGGGGCTCTTCTCCATTACTCAGCTCTGAAAAGTCAGTGCTGCTGAAACCTGCAGAAAAAAAAAAAATTCCTTAACAGTCTTAGTCTGAGTCTTCGGAACCAGCAGGGAATTCTTTAAAAGAAAAACTGGATAAGAGAAGCTTGTGTAGGAGTTTGTCCACTTAGACAGGTAGGACAAGGACAAGCTCCTACCACTAGGCCACCCTTTGGCTTTGATCATCTGACCTGCTGGTCAAGATTGCTCCAGCAGCCATCTCTGAGGCTGGCGCTGGGGACGACGTTGTTTCTTACATTTCTTACCCTTTCATTTGTTTGTACATACTTCTGCTTCCATCTCAGTATCTTATCCAAGGGAACCATGGAAGCAACATCTTAAGGATGTCAGAGCCTCCATCAGCTGAGCCTTAAATGACTGTGTGGGCACCCCTTCCACTCAGGAACTACTTTATCCTATTTATGTGAGTGAAAAATAAACTTGTGTTGCACTTGTGCCTTTGAACATTTTGAGGCTTATGTTTTATACCAGCCCAATTCATCTAATTGAAAATGTAAAATGCAAAGCATCTAAAATCCCCCAAAATTAAATTTTTTGTTTTAAAGGCTATGAAAAAAAAAAGGGAACATAGCTTTTGTAGCAAAGAAAGGCATTTGTTACATTGAGAGTTTTTAATTGCTCTTACGTCTCTTCTTGTTGTATATTCTCCAAGTAGATGTACTTCTAGAAGTCATAGGATCTAGAAAGGAAAACCAAACCAATAATGTCTAACTAAAAGATCTATAAATCTTATGACTACTTACACTGTTGACAGAATTTGGACTATATATATTCCACAAGGATCATTTCTGTCTCCTCCCACTAATGGGAAAGGGATTACTATCAAATGGAGCATAGACCCACAATCCTTTAGCCCTAATTGCAAAATCAAAGACTTTTTTTTTTTTTTTTGAGACAGGGTCTCACTCTGTCAGCCAAACTGGAGGGCAGTGGTGCAATCTCAGTTCACTGCAGTCTCAACCTTCCAGACTCAAATGATCCTTCCACTTCAGCCTCTCAAGTCTTTGGGACTACAGGCACACACCACCACATCTAGCTAATTTTTTGTAGAAATGGAGTTTTGGCACATTTCCTAGACTGGTCTTGAACTCCTGGGCTCAAAAGATCCACATGCCTCACCCTCCCAAAGTGTTGGGATTACAGGCGTGGGCCACTGCACCTGGCCTCAAAGAAATTTTGATAACCAATATTGTTTTTATAGATTTGCAGCTAATTTGGCAGGGAATCTGGACTTGAGTTGCCATGAGTTCATGTAAAATCTTATTATATTTGGTGTGAATATTTATATAATTTGCAGCAGAAACATTAGTATATTTGAGAATAGGACTCTGCCTTGGATCCTAGTAGGGTATTTTGTTATATGTAGAATATAAACTACATTGCCTTTCTAAAATAATAAAATATTTTTTGAACTTTGAAGTACATCTGGCTTTGAAGGTTTTATAGAGGATTATGAACATTTATGAAGAATTCAGGCTGCTAGTCTTGTCTCTTCCTATAACTTTCCATATGTGACGTGCAAAGAAAAAGGATCGTTTAGTGTGCCCGAGTTTCCCCATCTGTGAAATGGGGGGAACAATAGTTATTTTGCCCACCTTTTATATTATTGTAAAGATGCAAGAAGATCTTATTTTCAAATATATTTTAAAATATCACTATTTGGCCAATATCATGTTGGGGGCCATCTGTCAAAAGCTATGAATTGAATTTGATGGTAAGAACTAGGAGCCTTTCTTTCTGTCAATAACTAGAGAGTATGACCAAAGGCTTTGGAATTTTGAACAAGTTTGTGACAAAGTCAAGCAATAACAGACTACTGTACATTCTCTTCTCTACAAAATAAGGAATGGGAAGAAGTAGAAATTGATACAATAAATCCAACACATTGGAGTTAGGTCTGGCAATGATATGGTTTAGCTGTGTCCCCACCCAAATCTTATCTAGAATTCTCATGTATTGTGGGAGGTCCCCGGTGGGAGGTAATTGAATCACAGGGGCAGGTCTTTCCTGTGCTGTTCTTGTGAATATGTCTCATGACATGTGAACTATTATATAAGGGTGAGTTTCCCAGCACAAGCCGTCTTCTCTTGTCTGCTGCCAAGAGAGATGTGTCTTTCACCTTCTGTCATGATAGTGAAGACTCCCCAAACATGTGGAACTATAAGTCCATTAAACCTCTTTCTTTTGTAAATTACCCAGTCTCAGGCTTATCTTTATCAGCAACATGAAAATGGACTAGCATATAGCAGTATGTAGTAAACAGGGCACTGCCACTCAACCACAACCATCTTGTTAAGCCTGAATTTATAGTCCAAATGCAGACTTCTTTCTTTGCATTTTTCAAAATGGCCAGATGAAATAGATGCAGAGAACTGACTCCTGGTCTTAACAAGACCATAGCTGTTGTGTGTGCTCAGAGCACAGTGCACCAGGGAAGAGGCGCTCTGAAATCAGAGCCCTGAAGTCAAGGGGGCTGTTCTTACCCTTCTCGCCGTGCAGTGCCCTGATTAAGACTTTTGGAATTTCCTCCTCCTCACTGGATTCTGAAGAGTCATGGTCTTGTCCTATCACTGCAGAAAGGAGCAAATGTCCTTTGGAGGTCTCAATATACGACAAAGGAGCCAAGACAGAAGAATATTCCATGAAAAGGAAACTAGGAAAAACTTGCGATGCTCTGAAACTTCAGGGCAAGAATGTCCGTGCCTTCAGACCTCCATCATTCATCTTTTGATTCAAATTTGTGTGGCTCAAGGTTAGTATTTTATCCCTCACTGCCACTTGAGCTTGAGGCTGAGAAACTTTTAGCCCCACTGGGCATCTCTGCTTTGTCTTGGCGCTCTGTCATCTTACACCACGTTATCTTTCTTTGTTCACTTGTCTCTTTATGGATTTGTTGTAGTTTTTGTATATGGATTTGTATTTATTTATAAATTTGCTTCTCTCTCAGGACAACCATGGAAGTCTGGGATTGAAGAAGGCAGGTCTTCTACTTGCCTGCTTTCCTGAAGAACTGCTTGAAGCAGAGTGCAACCTCTCTCCCATCTAAAAATCCTTGAAATATTCAGTTAAAAAAAGATAAACTTCTAGTACAAAAATAAAAAACCTTCTATTGTGTTGGAGTCATTGACTTCTTTGGGTTTACAGCAATTAGTCAACCTAACTAATACAAAAGCTAAAATAGGAACCACTGAAATTTAAAGCAAATTTGTATTCTATTCTGAAGGATATAGCAAGGAATTAGACTGACTCTTTTGTAGAAAATATTGTTCATTTCTAACCATGGAGAGTTGTTATTTTCTCTTACCTCTTTTCCTAGAGCTTTCTCTGAATATAGACGATTTTCTGAAATCCATGGGGTCTGTAAAAAATAATAGAGAGAAACCCGTTATTTGTATACAAGAGACTTATAAATTCTATGACAACTGACACGGCAAATGGGCTTGGGTTAATGATGAAGTTTTGATGAGCGTTTTTCTCTCTCCTTCTAGTGAATCTAGTTCTGGGGGTTTGGGATCAGAATGCTGGGATTCTGCCCAGCTCTCCCTATAATCTTCTGTGTGTATTAATTGCAAATGCCTCTTTTTAATTCTTTTTTTCAACTTTTATTTTAGGTTTGGGGGTACATGTGAAGGTTTGTCACATGGGCAAATGTATGTCACAGGAGCTTGTTGTACAGATGATTTCATCACCCAGGTATTAAGCCCAGTACTCAATTGTTATCTTTTCTGCTCCTCTTTCTCCTCCCACCCTCCACCCTCAAATAGACCCCAGTGTCTTCTGCTTCCTTTTTTTGTGTTCATAAGTTATTATCGTTTAGCTCCCACTTACAGGTGAGAACATGTGGTATTTGGTTTTCTGTTCCTGTGTTAGTTGGCTAAGTATAATAGCCTTCAGCTCCATTTATGTTCTCTCAAAAGACATGACCTCATTCTTTTATATTTATTTATTTATTTTCTAGACAAGGTCTCACTCTGTCACCCAGGTTAGAGTGCAGTGGCACAATCGTAACTCACTGCAGCCTCGACTTCCCAGGCTCCAGTGACTCTCTCACCTTAGCCTCCCAAGTAGCTGGATCACAGGTGCACACCACCATGCCCAGCTAATTTTTGTATTTTTGGTAGAGATGGAGTTTCTCCATGTTGCCCAGGCTGGTCTTGAACTCCTGAGCTCAAGCAATCCACCTGTCTCAGCCTCTCAAAGTGCTGGGATTACAGGTGTGAGCCACTGCACCTGGTGGTAAATGACTCTTAAACGTCACTAGCTCCCATTTTCTAGTTATCCTATCTCCCTGTCAAAATTTTTGTGATGGGAAAATGAAACTTCATTTACAAAGCCCTGTGAAAAATCCCCATGTAAGCCAATGAGTAAACTATAATTTGAATATGGGTATAGCTGAAGTCACGTTTTTTGCCCATCAATAATTAAATAGCATCACAAATTATTCTTTGAATACTTTCTAAGCTTGAAATTAGACAGTATTATCAAAGAATAAAGAAAGATTGTGCTTATCATGCTCTATCAAATATAAAGGGTGGTAGTAGAGAATAAATACATTATTTCAACTCTTTAGCATTAATAGATATGATAGTTTGTTGTTAAAAAGGCTGTTACTTTACTAGCATATTATAGCTATATTTTCAATATATCAATCAATTGAACCAATCCAATTAAACAAGAGTTTATGTGACCTTCCTTGTGTCTTCCATTTCTCAATAGGGCCAGAGAGGTTAAATGTAGAAAATGGTATTCTAGAATTTATAGAATCAAGGCATATGGAGACTGCTCAGAATAAAATTAATCAAGGAAACAGAGCTCTGGATTTGTACTCTGGATGTGTACTCAAGATGCAGCAATGTTTTATAACATCAAGATGTGGCAATGTTTTATAACATCAAGATGCGGTAATGTTTTCTCAGGTTGCAATTCTAATATTCTTACCTGATACAATCTGAGGTCGTGAGCAAGTGGCTTGTTGGTCCTCCTCTTCCTCACTTGATTCTAAAGGGTTGTCATTATTGACCACTGCACAAAAGAATAGGATTCTTTAGAGGTCTTAGTGTGTAACCAAGGAATCAGCTCAGTAGGAAATTCCCTAGTTAGAAAACCTTGAAAATCCATGCAAGTCCTCACCTGTCCTAGGCCACGCTTGTCTTTCCTTTCAAGTTACCTGCGTTGTGGGTTAGTGATACTCCGTTCTTGTCCCCAGAGGGAAACTTTGGTTTGCATGGCCTTTGCTTTCATACTTATTTTACTTCTCATCCCTTCTACTTGCCATTCCACATTTCCTTTGTTTCTGCCTCTATTTTTCATGCAGGGAAACCTTGAAGATCTTCAGTTAAAGATGTGAGCCTCCTCTACCTCCTACCAACCCAGTGCCTTCCCAAATTGTTTACAAGGCTGAGAAATAATCTTCCTTTGTGTTTGAGCCAAATACATATTTTGGGACTATCTTTTAGAGCAGTTTGCTTACACGAAGATCAAAGTTAGGGTACATCCTGTCTAAACACTAAGGCAAATTTACATTTTACTTTGAAAGATGACAGTGAGAAATTAGAATGAATGTATTATTCAACATATTGTTATAACATCAAGATGAGGTAATATTTTTCTTTATTCTTAGGTCTTTCCCTAGTGTATTTCCCCTAAAGTGGCATGTTTCTAATATCCTCTGGATCTAGAAAGTAAAGGGAAAAACAAATCAATCAATTTGCACACTAAAAAGTTATAAATCTTATGCTGCAACTAGAATTGAGATAATACAAGATTTTGATGATGCTTCTCTCTTTCATTTCACAAAGGAAGTAACTTAGAATCCAGGATGCTAGTCTTATCTTTCCTTTAATTTACCATGAGATTTTGGAAATGACTTTGAAACATTTATGTAATTGTGTTTTCTCATCTAGGAAATAAGGATGACAATCTCTATTCTGTTTACCCTTTTAAGGTTATTGTAAATTTAAAAATAAGACAATTTGCAAAAATCTTTTGAAAGATTACTAAATGTGCCATGACTTACTCAAGAACTCTATCAGAAACAATGCTTCAGGTTTCAGAATACTTTATCTCAAGAGTTTATTTTTGCCAACACCAGATAGTTGGATTAAATGTCTTTTGACCCTATCCAAACTTTGTGATCAGATGACAATAAGATGTTCCTATAAAGGATTATTTAACTTTCTGTTCTCTATAAAGATCACAGTATAAATCTACACTATATAGCCATAACAACTAGTTGTTTTTAAAAATAAACTCATCATTTGGTTAGCCTATTCCTGCTATACAATCAATTTATGGGTATGCAAATTGATTAATAGAATCCATCAAGAAAGAAGGCTAATTCTCAAAAATACGTTTATAACAATTTCTTGTCTCCCTGCATTTTCCAAAAAGGTTAAGTAAAATTAATGCAAAGAATGGGATCTCAGGGTAAACTGGACCCAGCCTATAGAATGTGCTCAGAATAAAAGGCATGAGGAAAGAGTAGCTCTTAAATCAGATTCTCACAGCCCAAGCCTTGCTCTCCCAACTTTCCTTACCAGGCTCACTTTTCAGTGCTGAGATGCAGACTTCTACGGGCTCATCAACGTCACTGGATCCTTCAGAGTCCTCACTGCTGATGACTGTGCAAAGGAGCAAAACCCATTAAGAGCCTCAGGGTGTGACCAAGGAGTCCATGCCCCAGAAATGTCCACAATAAGAGCAGTAGGAAGAGCTGAGAAGCTAAGTTAACTCAAGACCCTGGACTGCTCCTCAAATGTATACCACCTGCAGTTTGTTCTAGGTTCTTAACCAAAAGCTGATAAAATTGACACACAAGGCAGTTGTGCCCACCCACTGACACTCTGCTTATCCCAACCCTCATTCTACTTTTTTCTATCACTCTTATTTTATTTCTCATCTTTCCTCTGTTGTGCCATCTCCCCTGTTTCTGCCTCTGTTTCTGGTGATGGTGTCTCTTTATACCTCTCTTTGTCTTGGTGTGTTTCTCCTCGCATCTCCTCTTGTGAATATCTTGACTCCTTGATCTTCTTCTTTTTTTTAAAAGCTCCTCTCCCATGCCTTCCTTTCTTACTTTATTTTTATTTATATTTTTCCTTATATTTTGAGATAGAGTCTTGCTCTGTCGCTGAGCTGGAGTGCAGTGGCACAATCTTGGCTCACTGCACCTTCTGCATGCTGGGCTCAAACAATGCTCCTGCCTCAGCTTCCCAAGTTGCTGGGACTATAGGCATAAGCCACCTTGCCTGGCTAATTTTTATGTTTTTTGCAGACATGGGGTTTCACCGTGTTGCCCAGCTGCTCTCGAACTCCTGGACTCAAGTGATCCGCCTGTCTTAGCCTCCCAAAGTTCTGGGATTACAGGTATGAGTCACCAGGTGCACCCCTCTCTGACTTCAGAAATAGCCTCTCTGACATTCTTACTTAATACCTCCATTTCTGACTTCTGGCATTTTCCCGACTGCTAAGGACTTTCTTCTGTCAAGCTGAAGACTCACTGCATCAGGTGCCAGCCTCTTTCCCTTAGCGCCCCATCCCAGGCTAACTGCATTGCCCCGATGAGCCCTGATGAAATCCCCAAGCCCCTTACCTGGTAACCTGTGACTCACAGTTACAAATTCTCCCAGTTGGCCTTACCTATTATGTCAGACACCTGGTTATGATCAGTCCTTGCTTTGGCTTGGCGCTCAACTTTTGAATTAAAAAACGGCTTTTCCTTCTTTATATCCACCAGTCGCACAGAACAGGAATTAATTTGGACTCCGTGGTTGAGTAGCTCTGACCCTGGACCAAATTGTAACAAATGAAGAATTGTCATTTGTCTCTCCCGTGGACCTCCTTCACTATCATTAATAACTCCCTCTCTGCAATTTCACTGCTGGGGCTAGGCTTTCACCCCACCTCCCTGGTTGTTTTTGTGGTCAACTCTGTGCCTTCCTTTGTGCCACTCTTGGCTCTGTTTTGTTTTTTAGCTTTCCCTTTCCCTACTCTTCTCATCCTTTGATGGCTAACATTTTGCTTTTTTAAAAAAGTAAAAATTATAATTGTCATATAAGACACATGAATAAAAGTGAGTTTTGAATGATCACAAAGGAAGTAAATCACTTTGATCAAGAAATACCCCAGAAGCCTCCGAATGATACTTCCCACCGTTTCCACTGACTTGCTCAAAGCCAGCTACCAGCTAGGCTTCCAATAGCTAGATTAATTTTGCCTGTTGTGTAATTTATATAAATAGAATCATCTTCTCTTTTCTCTTGCTCTTTCCCTCTCTCCCCCCTCTCTCCCCCCCCTCTATATATATATATATATCTCCCCAAAGAAGCCAGCTCCACCCAAATTATATGTATATTTTACTCAACATGCTTGTGAAAGTCGTCTGCATTCATTTTTGTATAATGATTTTCACTGCTATATAGTATTCCATTACAGAATTAAGCCATGAAGTGTTTATTCATTTGTACAATTTCAAACGTTTGGCTTCTATGAATAATGCTGCCCTGAGCTTTCTTTTCTATGTGTTTTGGTGAACATAACACACACTTCTGTTGGTTTCTGCTGAGGAATGTAATTGTTGAGTTATAGGGCATGTGCATTTTCAACTTTGGAAGATTATCCCAAACTGTTTTCCCAAAAGCAGTGTGGATAGACCTTCACCCCACCTCCTTGTTTTTCCTTTTGCTTGACTCTGTCATTGAGCAAAAGGAAAGACAGAGATGCAAATAAAAAGAGAGATTTCCAAATTCCAGTAAGTAAAGGAATTTGGTGTGGTGGGAATGTGGCATGAAGGGGTAAGAGGTGGGTGATGGGAAGCATGCAGCTGCATGGTGGGCATCCTCTAATTCACCACTCCAAGCAGTATTGACCTACTGCTAAGGGCCACGTGAAGGCACTGAGTTTCAAACAGGAAAGTCATATCAACTGGTTTCTATTTTGGAAAAGTCCACTCAGCTGAAGTTGAGAGGAGCAAGACTGGAGGCCAGACAGGAGACTGTTTCTCTAGTTTTAGTGAGAGTGACAGGGATCTGGATTAGGGTGTTAGCCCTGGGGATGAAGAGAAATGGACAAATTAGAGATATTTTAAAGTTGATATTGACTGAAGTGGCTAATAAAATGAAAGTTTTGGGCTTATAGAAAAATAAAAATATAATTAGAAATTTGGGGAGGAGCAGAGCAAGATGTCAGAATAGGACCCTCCAGCCCTCCTTCCCCTGCAGAAATACTAATGTGAACAATTGCCTATGCATGAAAATACCTTTGCAAGAGCTGAGGAAACCAGGTGAAAGACCACAGCACCTGGGTGCAGCACAGAAATAAGAAACAGCACATTGAAAAGGGCAGGAAGAAAAGTTTCACATGTCATCCTTTCCCCAACTCCAGGAAGCACAGCATTGAGAGAGATACCATATGCTTGGGGAAAGGAGAAGGAAGTGAGCACCAGACTTTGCCTTGGACCTAAACCATAGAACCATCTTCAGTGAAACCCAGTGCCAGGCAGGCTCCCAAGGCCCCAGACTCCAGCCAATACCCATGGTGTGAACCTCCAAGCTCACTGTGATCTCAACCTAAATCCTGCAGCCCCAGGATTCAGGCCAACCCTGCAAACTCAGTCTCCAGCCTGCTAAAGCACTATTTCAGTCTCTGTAACCCATGATCTGGACCAGATTAAGTACCAAACTGGACTCAGTGGCACCAGGCTTTAGGTCCATCCCAGCAGCAAGCTGGCTTCAATAGCACTGGGCTTCAGGCCCACTCAAGTGCCTGAAGAAGCCTGCACCGCTGCTGGTGTAGAGCCCTGCAGATTCTGGCTCAAGGTCACCCCCAGAACAGACCTGCCCACTGGTTGCCATAGGCACCAGACTAGCCTGCTTGAGGACTCCAGCAGCAGGCCTGCCCTTGCACCTGCAAAGACTAGGTAAGTCCCTACTTTCTCAAATGCACAGAGCAAATGTAAGGCAACAAGAAATATAAAAACCAAAGAAACATAACATGACTAAAAGAACACAATAATCTCCCCATAGCAGACCCCAAAGCAATGGAGATAACAAACTGCCTCACACAGAATTCAAAATAATTGTTTTAAGGAATCTCAGGAAACCTCAACAAAATACAAAGAAATAATTCACTAAAATCAGGAAGACAATAAATGACCAAAATGAGAAGTTTAACAGAGATATTGAAATTATTTAAAAAATCAAACAGAAATTCTGGACCTGAAAAATGCAATGAATAAAATTTAAAAAGGCATCAGAGAGCATCAACAGCAGAACTGATCATGCAGAAGAAAGAATCTCAACTCAAAGACAGGTTATTTGGAATACAGTTAGAGAAGAAAAAGAAAAAACAATAAAAAGTTATGAAGAAAGCTTATAGGATTTATGAAACACATCTAAAAAGCAAATATTTGAATCATAGGACTTCATAAAAGACAAGAGAAAGACAAAGGTAGAGAGTTAATTTAAAAAGATAATAGTACAAAACTTTGCCAATCTGGTGAAAGACATAAAATTTCCAGGAGCAGGAAGGTCAATGGTCTCCAATCAGATTCAATCCAAATAAGACTACACCAAAACATACCATAATCAAGCTGTCAAGAATCAAGGACAAAGAGAGTATCCTGAAGGTGATAAAAGAAAAGAAGCAAGAAACATATGAGGGAGATTTAATAAGAATAGCAGTGAACTTTTTAGTAGAAACCTCTTTCACAGATCAGGATAGAATGAGATGAAATATTCAAAGTGTCAAAGGGGGAAAAAAACTGCCAACCAAGAATGCTTTTCATAGCAAAGCTATCTTTCAGAAATAAAGGAGAGAGAAAGAGTCTCCCAGGAAAACAAAAGATGAAAAGGTTCATTACCACCAGAACTGTTTATAAGGAATGCTAAAGCTGAAAGAAATAAATGCTAACTAATAATATGAAAATATAAGACAGTATAAAACTCACTGGTAAAGTAAATGTATGGTCAAAATATAGAATACTCTAATACTGTAATGGTGGTGTGTAAATCACTTCTACAGCTAGTACAAAGGTTAAAAGACTTTTTTTTTTTTTTTTAAAAGTAGCTACAATAATTTGTTAAGGTATACACTATATAAAAAAGATGTAAATTATGACATCAAACATTTTAAATAAGAGAGTAAAGTGCAGTTTTTGTATGCAATCAAAATTATCAGCTTAAAATAGCCTGTTACAACTATAAGATGTTTTATGTGAACTTCATGTTAACCACAAAGCAAAAAGTTACAGTGAATACACGAAAGATAAATAGGAATAAAAGTATTTCACTAGAGAAAATCACTTAGTCACAAAGGAAGACAGTAAGAGAGAAAGGAATAAAGACTTTGTAGACAACCAGAAAACAATAAATAAAGTGGTTGTAGAAAGTACTCACTTATCAATAATTATATTAAGTGTAAATAGATTAAATTCTCCAATCAAAAGACACAGAATGGCAGAATGAATTTAAAAAACATGACCCAAGTATATGCAAACTATAAAACACTCACTTCACTTTTAAGGAGACACAGACTGAAAGTGAAAAGATAGAAAAAGATATTTTATGCAAATGGAAATGAAAGAGAGAAGACACAGCTCTACTTACATCAGATGAGATACAGTTTGAATCAAATAATATAAAACAAGGCAAAGAAAGGTCATGACAAAACCAAGCATGGTGGCTTATATCAGTGAAATTGTTGCTTGAGCCCAGGAGTTTGAGACCTGCCTGGGCAACACAGGGCAATCCTGTCTTCACAAATAACAACAACAATAAATTAGTCAGATATGGTGGTACATGCCTGTCATCTCAGCTACTTGGGGGAATTGCCTGAGCCCAAGAGGTTGAGGCTGCAGTGAGCCATGATTACACTCATGCACTCCAGTCTGGGTGACAGAGCAAGACCCTATTTCCAAAACAAAAACAAAAGAAACAAAAAGAAAGAAAGAAAAAGAGAAAGTCATTATGAAATGATGGAGTCAATTCATGGAGATGATATAACAATTGTAAACATATGCACTTAATATTTGAGCAATGAAATATAAAAAAAAAATTAACAGATGTGAAGCAATGAGAGACTAATACAATAATACTAGGGGACTTCCACACCCTACCTTCAGCCATGGACAGAAAATCAATAAGAACACATCAAGCTTAACCTATAGTTTAGACCAAGTGGACCTAAAGGCATATATAGAATATTTGATCTATCAGCAGAAAAATACCATTCTTTTCAGTTGAACCTGGGACACTCTCCAGGATACATCATATGTTAGACTACAAAACAATTTTTAACAAAATCAAGAAGGCTCAAATTACATCAGATATATTTTCTGATCACAGTGATATGAAATTAGAAATCAGTAATAAGGAATTTTGAAAAGTTTGCAAATACATGGAAATTAAGTACACCCCCGAACAACCAATAGGTTAAAAAATTTTCCTATTAATTTATTCATTAATTAACTTAATATGAAAAATTTTTAATCCTTGAGACAAATAAAGATAGAAATGTAACATAACAAAACTTATGAGATAAAGCAAAAGCAGTTCTAAGAGGGGAAGTTTATTGCAATAAACACAAGAATACATCAAGAAAGAAGAAAGATATCAAACAACATAAAGTTATACCCCAAGAAACTAGACAAAGAAGAAAAACGAAGGCAAAAATTAGTAGAAAGAAGGGAACAATACATATCAGATTAGAAATAAATGAATTTAAAACTAGAAAAAATATAAGATCAACAAAACAAAGTGTCGGCTTTTTTGAAAAATAAACAAAATTGATGAAGTGTTAGCTAGACTAAGAAAAAAGAGAAAACACTCAAATGAATAAAATCAGAAATGAAAGAGGAGACACTACCTCTCTCATAGCACATATATACAAATAATCATAAGACACTACTATAAACAACTTAATGGCAACAAATTGGATAACCTATAAGAAATGGATACATTCCTAAACACATGCAACCTGCCAAGACTGAATAACAAAGAAATAGAAAAAATATGAACAGACCAATAATGAGTAAGATTTAAACTGTAATCAAATCCCACCCACCAAACGAAAGCTCAGGACCAGACGGTTTCACTGTTGAATTTTACCAAACACTTGAAGAACAAATAGCAATCCTTTTCAAACTTTTCTTAAAAATTGAGTAAGAGGGACTACTTCCAAACTTATTTTATGATACCAGCATTACCCTGATGCCAAAGCTAGACATGAACGCTACAAGAAAAGAAAATTATAGGTCACTATCCTTGATAAACATATATGAAAAATCCTCAACAAAATACTATCAAATCAAATTCAACAGCACATTAAACACCATGATCAAATAAGATTTATCATTGGAATGCAAGGATGGATCAACATACACACATCTAAAAAGGTCATACACATTAATAGAATGAAGGACAAAAATCATATGATCATCTCAATATATGTAGAAAAAGCATTTGACAAAATTCAACATTTTTTAATGATAAAAACACTCAGCAAAATAGATATAGAACAAATGTATCTCAGTACAGTAGTGGCCATACATGACAAGCCCACAGCTAATACCAAACTTAATGTCAAAAAGCTGAAAGATTTCCTTCTAAGGTTAGAAACAAGAGTAGGATGCTGATATGGTTGGATGTGTCCCCATCCAAATCTTATCTTGAATTGTAGTTCCCATAGCCTCCACATGTCATGGGAGGGACTTAGTGGGAGGTAATTGAGTCATGGGGGCAGTTATCTCCATGCTGTTCTTGCAACAGTGAGTTCTCACAAGATTTGATGGTTTTTAAGGAACTTGGCCCCCTTTGCACTGCACTTCTCCTTGCTGCTGCCACGTAAAGAAGGACTTGTTTGCTCCCCCTTTTCTGCTATGATTGTAAGTTTCCTGAGGCCTCTAAAGCCATGCTGAACTGTGAGTCAATTAAACCTCTTTCCTTTATAAATTATCCAGTCTTGCATATGTCTTTATTAGCAGTATGAGAATGAACTAATACAGATTGCCCATTATCATTTCTATTCAACATGTCACTGCAAGTCCTAGCCAGAATAATTAGGCAGGTAAAATAAATAAAAGGCATTCAAATTGGAAAGGAAGAAGTTAAATTGTCCTTATTTGCAGATGACCTGATCTTATATATAGAAAATCCTAAAGACTGCACCAAAAAACCGTGCTAGAACTGATAAACAAATTCAGTAGTGGCAGGATACAAATGCAACATACAAAACTCAGTTGCATTTCTATACACTAACAATGAACTCTCTGAAAAACACATTAAAAAATCCAATTTACAATCAATTTACAGTAACTACAATAAAACACATAAGAATAAATTACTAAGGAGGTGAAACGTGTACACTGAAAACTCTAAGATACTGATGAGAAAAACTGGAGAACAAAGAAATGGAAAGATACCCCATGTTCATGGATTGGATAAATTAATATTGTTAAAATGATCAGTCTACTCAAAGTCCCCTAAAGATTCAGTGCAATTCCTATAAAAATTCCAATGGCAGCCAGGTGTGGTGGCTCATGCCTGTAATCCCAGCACTTTGGGAGGCCGAGGTGGGTGGATCACCTGATGTCAGGAGTTCAAGACCAGCCTGACCAACATGGTGAAACCCTATCTTTACTAAACACACAAAAAATTAGCCAGACATGGTGGCACATCCCTGTAATCCCAGCTACTTGGGAGGCTGAGGCAGGATAATTGCTTCAGCCCATGAGGTGGAGGTTGTAGTGAGCTGAGATTGCTCCATTACACTCCAGCCTGGGCAACAAGAGCAAAACTTTGTTCTTAAAAAAAAAAAAAATTCAATGGCATTTTTTGAGAAATAGAAAAACAATTTAAAAGTTTGTATGGAAGCACGAAAGACTCCAACTAGCCAAAGCAATTTTAAGAAAAAAGATCAAAGCTGAAAGCATCACACTACCTGATTCAATATGTACAACAAAGCTATATTAATCAAAAACAGCATGGTACTTGCATAAAATAGACATGTAGAAAAATGGAACAAAATAGAGAGCTTGGATCCAGGCATTTATGGTCAATTGATTTTCAACAAAGGTGCCAAGAATATGCAATGGGGAAAGGACATCTATCTTTTTAATAAATGGTGTTGGGACAACTGGATATCCACATGCAGAAGAATGAAATTTGACCCTATCTCATACCATATTAAAAATTTACTCAAAATTGACTAAATGCTGAAATTGAATACTCATGGTTATAAAACTACTAGAAGAAAATATAGAGTTTCATGACATTGGTCTGAGCAAATATTTTTTGGGTATAATACCAGAAGCACAATCACAGAAGCAAAAAGAATTGGGATTACATCAAACTAAAAAGCTTCCACATAGGCAAGGAAACAATCAAGAGAGTGAAGAGACAACCTACAGAATGGGAGAAAATATTTGCAAACCATATATCTGTTAAGGGTTATTATCCAAAATACATAAGGAGCTCTAACAACTCAATAGTTTAAAAAAAATTTTTTTTAATGGGCAAAGGACCTTAATAAACTTTTCTTAAGGGAACACGTGGAAATGGCTAAGAGGTTTGTGAAAAAATGCTCTGCCTCAGAAATCATTAAGAAAATGCAAATTAAAACCAGAATGAATATCACCACATACTGGTTAGAATGGCTATTATCAAAAAGACAAAAGATAACAAATGTTGGCCGGGCGAGGTGGCTCAAGCCTGTAATCCCAGCACTTTGGGAGGCCGAGGCGGGTGGATCACGAGGTCAAGAGATCGAGACCATCCTGGTCAACACGGTGAAACCCCGTCTCTACTAAAACTACAAAAAATAGCTGGACATGGTGGCGCGTGCCTGTAATCCCAGCTACTCAGGAGGCTGAGGCAGGAGAATTGCCTGAACCCAGGAGGGGGAGGATTGGGGGGACCGAGACCCCCCCATTCCACCCCAGCCTGGGTAAAAGAAGAAAAACCCCGTCTAAAAAAAAAAAAAAAAAAAAAAAAGATAACAAATGTTGGTGAGGATGTGCAGAAAAAGGAAACTTTGTACACTGTTGGGGCGAATATAAATTGCTTTAATCACTAAGAAAAACAGTATGCAATGTCCTCAAAAAAAAACTAAACATAGAACTACCCATATGATCCACAAATTCCACTACTGAACATATATTCGAAGGATATGAAATCAGTAGATGCTCCCAGAGTTATGCTGAGACTACATCTCCATAAACCTACCATAAATTGAACATCTCATAAGCCAAAAACGCATTTAATACTTCAATAAACCCATTGAAAATCATAAGTCTAACCATAATAAATCAGGGACTATTTGGTATACGGAAGAGATATCTGCCAGCAGTATTCGCAATGGTCAAGATACAGAAACAACCTAAGTGTCTATCAGTGGATGAATGGGTAAGAAAAATATATACACAGTGAAATACATCTACACATTGAACATATTATCTAGCCTTTGAAAAGAGAGAAATCCTGTCATTTGCAACCACAACCACGAACCTGGAGGATATTACGTTATGTAAAATGAGACAGGCATGGAAAGACAAATATTACATCTCACTTATATGTAGGGTGTAAAAATGTTGAGTTTACAGAAGTTGAGAGTATATTGTGGTAACAGAGGCTGGGGCTGTGGGGAAAAGGAATGGGGAGATGTTGGTCAAAGGATACAAAGTTTCGGTTAAATAGGAGAAATATATTAAGAGAGCTATTATACAACATGATTAATATAGTTAATAATGTATTCTTAAAAATTACTGAGAGAATAGATTCTGTGCTATCACCACAAAAATGATAAATATGTGAAGTCACAGTTATGCTAATTAGCTCTATTTAGCCTTTTCACATACGTGTAACATATTTCAAAACAACATGTACATAATAAATACATCCAATTTTTAATTTGGTAATTTAAAACAGTGGTTACAATGGAAAAACAGCAATCAACCAACCAAACAAACAAATGTATAGCATCGGAATAAGAAAGGAAAAGAAATAGGCAAGGTAAGCAATAATTACTTTCTTCATCACAGGGCAATGGGCTGGGCGTCTCCCTTCCAGCATCTCCATTATTCACTTGGACAGCGGCTCGTTTGCAGGACTCTGGAGATAAATGAGATCACAGTTGAGATCCATTGGGGCCTTGGTCTGTCCTATTTCCATTTTGTTAGACTTCACCCTGCTTCTCCTTTCTTTTTATGTTTCTACCTATGCCCCCGTCTGCATATATTGCTGCATGAAGGTGTTTGCACTTCACTGATTCCTGGCCAATCTCTCTTTTCTTTTGCCTTCTGTTTCTGTCTCTTTTCTTTAGTGAGGCTATGCAACTTTTCCCCTTTCTCTTTAGTTTTTCTCTTGTAGCTTTCTTCCTTCAGGTCTTTGTCATCAGTATGCCAGTGTATCAGGCTCATCAGTATACCAGGCTCTCTCTGTGTCTGTGTGATTTTCCCCTGCTTGTTAAACAGGTGTCTCTTTACATTGTGCATTAGACTCTTCCTCTGCTGCCAGCCAGGGCCCCTTGGCTCCTCCCCATGCATGCAAACCCAGTCGGTCTTACCTGCTGGCTCAGCCTTTTGGGCATATTGTTTATTTGTTTGTTGGCTTCCTAGTGCATCATTTTTGTCACTGGTTGTATCTTTTCTCTTTGCATGTATCTGTTCTGTTTCACAGGGGTGCTCTGGGAGTCCGTTTTCAGGTGGGGTTGTACCTAAACCATGTTTTGATTTACAGGTATTTTATCTGTCCCCTGCTGCCCGTCACTCCCCTCCAACCACCATAGCATGGGCCACTGCTGGATGTAAGATCAAGGCACCAAGGCAACAGTCAGATTCAAGCAGATGCAGGCAGAAAATGGTGAAGCAGGCACATGGGTAAAACGATCAGGCTCAGGGCAGCAGGAACCAGCAGCAAGTGTGCTTAAGAGGTGTGGGAGGAAGAAACCCTCCTAGGGAACCTAGAGGATAAGGATTGTTATTTAAATCCCAGAAATGGAAAAACTGTCGATGCAAAAACTGAAAATCTGGTCAATCATTAACACAAAGGGGCAATCCCACAGCACATTCCAGAATGGGGCAAGAATAGCAAAGGCTCAAAGAGTAGTAAACAGGAACAAACCATCGTAAGACGGGGAACCCGAACGTGTCCAGGTCAGGCTTCGAAAAGGGTTTTCACCAGTTCCTGGCAGAAAGAAATTAGTTTATTTCAGAAATTGAGGTATGGATCTTGCCATTTCTCCCCTAATCTCTTTCTGGTCTCTGTAATGTAGAAGTTAAAGACCCCTCCTTAGTCACAATGCAGAGCCCATCTGGAGCTGGCAGATGCCACCTAATTATTGAAGTCAGACTCCAGCCTCGACAGTAGGGTGCTGGGTCAGCTGCACCCCTGGCTGACAGGGGCCTTGACCAGAAGATCCCATTGAATGTCCTCTGTGATACACTCTGGTAACTGGCAATGGCAAAGTGAACCTGCCTTTGTCCCCAGAGCTACCCTGCCCAGGGCCCTTAGCTCAGTTTCTTCGAAGTCCTGGTTGCCTTGTGCCCACCCCCTTTTACAACACACCCTCCCTCTCCACACCTGCTCACGCTTTCTCATTGGCTTTTCCATGAGGACTCAGTGTCCGAGCAGCCTCTACTTCCTCCAGCTTTTGGTATTCTTTTTTCTGGATCTTTTTGTCTGCAAATATTTTTCCATCTTTTTTTACATTTTTCTGTTTTTATTTTTTAGATTCCCTGGGTAGCACAGAGGTAGGAATGCAGGCTCTGGGGTAGTTCACCTGGGTTTTTCCTTGTTCATCTGACCCTAGGTAAACTCTACTTGTGGTATCTCTGGATTTCAGTTACCTTATCTTAGCTGCAAAATGGGAATGTAAGTAATACTAATCTCCAATGGCTGTCATGAGCATTAAACCAGCTCCCACAAAGTAGATGTTCAAAGTGAGCTGTTAATGACATGGTTATTTTTGTTGTCTTTTACTCATTTTCGCTGTTTCATTTCCTTTCCTCATCCTGTAAGTACCTACATCCTCTCCACATCTGCACCACTTCTTCTCTGAGTCTCTCTACATGACTGTCTTTCTCTCTGACTATTCCTGCTCTTGAACAACATCCTCACATTTAAATTGGTCCCCTCTTTTGCCATCATCAAGTATCTCCTGTGATATGATAAGAAATATACATTTCAGTCTTCATTCCCTGCTCCTGGCCAGAGATCCTAAAACCACTGAAACATTTGAAGTGATAATGGTGAAAAGAGCATTTTCTGTTAATCGTAACAAGCCCCTTTCAACCAACCCTGAGTTTATGTTAATGCGGTAACTTTTGGAAAGCCCTTGATGGGGGTGGTTGCCAGGGGAACTGAACATGAGATTGGAGGGTTGGAACTTTCAGCCCCACCTCTTGACCTCCAGGGAGGGGAAAAGAGGGATGGAGGTTAACTTAATCATCAATTGCCAATGATTTGATCAATCCAGACCGTGTAATGGAACGTCCATAAAAAACTGTAAATGACTGGGTTCAGAAATCCTCTGGGTCGGCAAACACATGGAAGTGCCGGGAGGGTGGTGTCCCAGAGAGGGCAGAAGCTCTGTGCTCTTCCCCATGCTTTGCCCTATGCATCTCTTCCACTGGCTGCTCTTGAGTTGTGTCCTTTATAATAAATTGTCAAATATAAGTCAACATTTCCATGAAATCTACTAGGAAAGTATCAAAGCCAACAAAGGGCTTCTGGGAACCTCCACTTTGCAGGCAGTTGGTCAGAAGCACAGGTCACAACCCGAGACTTGCAACTGGCATCTGAAGTAGGGGGCATCCTTACGGGAATGAGCCCTTAACCTGTGGAGTCTGTGTCAAGTCTGGGTAATTAGTGCCAGAACTCAATTAAATTATAAGACATCAGGTGGCGTCTGCAGAGACTTGGAGAACTGATTGGTGTGGGGTGAGCACCGACATGTTTGGTGTCAGAAGTGCTGTGGATAGGACGGTACAGATAAAACAGGAGCATTTCTTTCCCCGAGAGTCTCCTCTTTGATGTTGACCATGGGCCATGGGATGTGGTTCTTAACCCTTTACAACTTCATGCTGATCCCCTACGGGGATTTTTCTAAATCACAATTACTTCTAAGGAGTTGGTGTCTGTAAGTCTGGCCTACTGACACACTTGGCTCTGATTCCTTCATGGTTATTGAATCAATGATGTCTTGTCGTGGCCACCTCTCCAGGACCCTGCATCTGGTTAGGAGCTCATGTAACTCCCTCCTTGACTTCTCCATAGTCCTTCCACATGTCTTCCCTGATTCACAGTCTCCACTCAGAGCCTTGGATCCCTAACCTCTCTTAGAAACAGTTTTTACTCTGTCATTTTTACCTTGTTCAAGACTAAGTTGCATGTCAGGCCTCTCCTCCCTCTCTTCTCCCTCACTTTCTTGTAAACGCAACTTGTCTTGGATCACTGAAGAGCGGAACAGAGAAGAAGCAATTAGAGATTTACAGGGTACAGGAACAATGGCTGGAAATCATGCTTTTATGAATTTCCAGTCTTTGGGTGGCTCAGAGCTCAGAGGGTTCCACTTGACTTAAACTTCTCCCATCATCCCCCTGGGACAGAAAAGAGAAGACCCTAACAATGAAGCCATTATTGTCCTACATGGCAAGAAGACACTCAAGATTTAAGGCTAAAGAGTAATGAAAACATTGTGAGTTGTATTACCCCCAAAATTGTCGGATGGCAGGGTAGGCATATATCAAGCGTAAGGAAGACGCTGAGGGATTCCCTGGGGAGAAGGTCTCAAGTCCTAGAGAGATTCCATTATAAAAGAGAAAATCAGCCAGGTGCAGTGGCTCACACCTGTAATCACAGCACTTTGGGAGGCTGAGACAGGAGCAGTCCTTGAGCCCAGGATTTTGAGACCAGCCTAGGACACACAGCTAAACCTCATTTCTGAAAAGAAAAAATTAGCTGGATGTGGTGGTACACAACTGCGGTGCCAGCTACTCAAGAGGCTGAGGTGGGAGGATCACTTGAGCCTAGGAGGCTGGGGCTGCAGTGAGCTGAGATTATGCCACTGCACTCCAGCCTTGGCAACAGATCGAAACCCTGTCTCAAAAAGCATAAATAAATAAAAAATAAATGAGAAAACCCCAACAGCTTTAAAGATGGGGCTAGAAAACAGGAGAATTTTGGCTTAATCGGGTCAGGGAGGATGGACAGTTCCCAAATAAACATAACAGAGGACACAGGGGCAGTTTGTGTGGACTTCATGGTCTGAGAGTCAGCAGCATCTCCCTGAGGGTGAGTGGGCTGCTGCACTGGGTGGGGCAGTGGGCAGTGCTGCCCCAGGTGGGCGACAGTGAGCCTCAGTGCAGGTCACCCAAGCATAAGGAGTGCCAGAAACTAACACGTGAGTTGTGGGCGCTGGGGCTAGGAAGGCGGATCCCTGCAGTCCATGGAGAGGAACAGAGCCCCTCAGAATGTGGGCAGTAAAGGTAGCAACATTCCCTCATCCCCACAGCCTTGGACCATCCTGGCTACAAACATAACACTGACTCAAAATTTGTGCCTAGGTATTTGATTTCCTTTACTTCTTCTGACTTGAATGATTTCCTCTAGAAATTATTTTATTCTTAATTTAGATAAGGTTAGTATTGACACAAATCAATAAGCCATATACAACTGCTTATACTTCTTTCCTTGTTTATACACCTGTAGTATCTCTTGATTGCCTAGTAAGTAAATCTCGAATTCCTTAGCTTTAGATTTCAGAGCACTCAATATCTTCCTCCAATTGATTTAAGTCAGCTTCTATACTGCTTCTCAGTCTCAGATTTAGCCAAATCTAATTTGTTCTGTTTTTTAGACACATTTTCATGCTTTTATTCCAGTTCCCATAGCATCCACCCTCTTCAGGGCATGTGCCCAGTTTTCTTGTGATATCCCTATCTCCTATTTGGAGAACCGGGTTGAGATCAAACTGTGTGGAAATAAAAAGTTTTCTAGGCAAATTAAAAAAAAAAAACAACAACTGGAGGACATCTTTACTGTGTACCATTATAATAGTACAAATTATGCATCCTCAGGAAAAAGGTCAAGAATGAAACCTTTAGTTTGGTATGGCACCAAAAATAGTCTCTAGCAGAGTAATCAGTTTTGTCATTATTAATTAATCATTGTTTCACTCTGTGTGGATAAAGGATTAGCAAGACCACTTCTCCTTCACTGAAGGCAAACTTGCCCCACGGTTAACTTTCTTGCTCATATTCTGGAAACCTAATAAAGATAGGCTTTTTGCAATGTTACTAGGCAAAGGCTGAGGTTAGAAATGACCCATGATTGGTTGACTGGGACTGTATAGGAACGAAAAATACCTGTGGGGAAGCCATAGTGTGGTCTTCCTTCAATTGATAACTCTTGTAGCTCAGCTTGCCCCTTATGGGGCTCTGAAAGCTGTGACCATCTAATTGTTATAAGAGACATATACTCCCAAAGGCATGTGGTGCTGAGCCAAGGTGGATCCTGCACCCACAGCTAAGTTGTCACTCAGGGAAGGTAGTAGTCAATTTGGTAGACTGCTATGTAGATCACTGCAAGGACTCTCACTGAAGAGAAGAAGCTGCCCTGTTGGGATTCTGTTTCTTACTTTATGCTCTTCTAAGTAAACCTGATGCCAGTGTAGCTCTGGCTGTCTTGTGAGCCTAAATGGCCATTAAGCAGACCTCCAGGTATTTGTTTTACCACAGCCATATGCCATGAGCTTCAAGAGGACTCATGACATGCGTATTTTGTTAACGACTGTATCCCCACTGCCCCACACAATATGTTACACATGTTAGGAGCTCAGTATATGATTATTGAAAAAAATTGGCACTGGAAATCAAAAGGTAGATAATAAACCTAATTACCATTTTCGAAGCTTTTATAAATGTGAATTAAATCAGGGTATTCCTGCAAGTTGACATCACTGAATAGCGCATCCAGAACTGACAGGTTAAATGTCTTCTCCAGTTCACTGAGGACATTGTACACCACTCTTTGTACAGGGACCAGGTTTCTACAAGAATCTTGAGAATCCTTAAAAAATATTGAATGGAGAAAACATAAATACAGACTTCCAAGTTACAGAAGAGCTTTAGAAAGGAATTCTATGGTTACTGTATTCTAACTCCTCTACAGAGGTATTTTCAAGTAAAGTTTTATATTTTTTACCTATTTGTATGGTCAGTAATGAAGGAAGTAAATTCCTTCTCCATAAAAATACCCACTGATGAGTCTGATCGCTTTACTCTCATTTACATTGGATGTAAAAAGGAGCAACTTTGAAGGATAAAAGTGGGCTCAAAGTCCTTTAATAGCTTGATCCATATGTTTTTGGGATAGGCATAGCAGGCAATCGATGAGTGGCTGTTTTGTTGACTGGACAACCCCTGCTCTTCCCCCAAGACTTATCTGGCCTGAAGGGCTCAAGGAAACCAGGTACTATTCTCCCCTTGCTGTGAACTTGGCCACAGAGGAAGTATATTCATAGCCAAAGAACACTCGCTGCTCTGTATCTCCAACAGGGCCTATGGATGGAATTTACCCATATTCCAAGACTACAGAAGTGTACAAAAAAGGAAAGAAAAAGAAAAAAATGTGTTGGAGAAAGTATAACAAGCATCTACTCACAAATTTGTCCTCTCTAGATACCAATTTCCTATGGGTTTTAATGTTCTCTGATCTAGGTATTTTAAATTGATGTTAACTGAAAGAAAATGCTGTGTTAATTACTATTTCAAGTAAAACACTTAGTTAAAATTATTTTAAGTTTTAGTTTATGTTACAGTGTATGAATTCTACAAAACATTGTACATTAACGGAGAACACCTGTTTCTGTTCCAGTTTCACCAGGTCCATTCACCCCAACTTCAGAGGGCACCACGAAACACCATTTCCTCAGCTGGAAGCAGGACCATCAGTGACCTATGCTTCTCCTCTCCTTTTCTACTTTAAAGGAGCACTTACAGAAATCCTTGAAAAAGTTCCTCACTCGTAGAAGACCTGTCAGTTAGCAAGTTGTAGCCTGAAGTTTGGGTCTAGGATATCAAAGCATAACTTACTTTGGGGCTGGTTTACCAGTTTGTGACATAATAAACTTTACTTACTTCAAACATTTTATCTGTGATGAGTTCACGGTCATGGAGGCCCTCAAGGAATGGAAATGTCTTTTTTATTGCATTTGAAATCTCCACCTTATATCTTTTGAAGTGCTTGAATAGAGTGTCACAGAGAAGCCTCTCATCTACATCCTCGTCTTCTGTTAACATCCTAGGGAAAAAAGGGCACCATGTGAAAATGGTCATCAAGATTCTGAGATGTTTGTGGAGACTGTAAGACTTTACATATAAAGGACATGCTATAAAGAACCAACATATATAAAATAGGTGGTTCTCAGTAGAGGCCGTAATAAATGGAATTGAAGCAACAAAAAAGATGTAATAAAGGAAATGGAGGTTGTGAAAGACTAATATAGAGGATTGAAAATGTTCGGTCTAAACTGAACAAAGCCATTGTAAAGACAACTTCACCTAACCGTATGTGGAATCTTTTTTAAAATAAAAATTAAACTCCTACAGAATCTAGATGGTGTAAACAGGTCATCCACAGAGAAATGAAAAAAATGAAATAAAAATAAAATCTAACCTTGAAAATGCATCTTAATTAGCAACTAAGAGAACACAAATCTGAGAAAGATAAAAATAAGATGTCTCTCTCTAATCTGTGGTTGTTAAGAAAGAAATATCATCCCATATCATAAAATTAATTCATAAATAATACAATGCAGTTTAATAATAATAATAATAATTATACCACATTATTGAGAATTTCATGAGAATATCAATGATATCTCCTAGAATGTCTGATTCTACTTTCTGTTAATATAAATCTGTCCAAATTATTGTTATATATGGTGAATCGTTTTAGGCATCTGAATTTCAGGAATTGCTGCTGTTTCCTGTGAATGTAGTTTTAAAGTTGAGTCCCTAAATCTGGTTCTTAGCCGATCACTTTATTGCTCTGATAATGTTTTAATCAACATCTCAGTATTCCTTAGTGTTATGAAAACTTATGAGCCTTTCCTTCCCAACCAGAAGAGAATTATTAGCACTTTCCAGTATCTAACATGAGGCAGAAAACAATAATGGTACATTATTGTTTTGAATTTCTGAAAGAAAAGTTAAAGATCACTAAAATGAAAACAAAGGAATTAGATTCACAATGACAAAGAGAATGGCAGGAAACAATGAGAGGATAAGAGATGTCAAATAAAATCTTGAAGGTGAAAAGTGGTCGGAAAAGTGCTAGTTGCAATAGTAGGTAAAGGATGGATGCTCCCAGAGGTTAGGAAAGCAATCATGGTGCCCTACAGAATTTGTAAGAAACGGTTTCTCAGACCACAGTGCAATCAAGCTAGAACTCAGAATTCAGAAACTAACTCAGAACCACACAACTTCATGGGAACTGAACAACTGGCTCTTGAATGCTGACTGGATAAACAACGAAATGAAGGCAGATATAAAGATGTTCTTCAAAACCAACAAGAGCGAAGACACAACATACCAGAATCTCTGGGACACATTTAAAGCAGTGTCTAGAGGAAAATATATAGCAATAAATGCCCACATGAGAAGCAAGGAAAAATCTAAAATCGACACCCTATCATCAAAATTGAAAGAGTTAGAGGAGCAAGATCAAAAAAACTCAAAAGCTAGCAGAAGACAAGAAATAACTAAGATCAGAGCAGAACTGAAGGAGATAGAGACTCAAAAAACCCTTCAAAAAATCAATAAATCCAGGAGCTGGTTTTTTAAAAAGATCAACAAAATAGACCACTAGCCAGATTAATAAAAAAGAGAGAATAATTAAATAGATGCAATAAAAAACGATAAAGGGATATCACCACAGATTCCACAGAAATACAAACCACCAGCAGAGATTACTACAAACAACTCTATGCACATAAACCAGTAAACCTGGAAGAAGTGGATAAATTCCTGGACACTTGCATCCTCCCAAGCCTAAACCAGGAAGAAGTCAAAACCCTGAATAGACCAATAACAAGGGCTAAAGTTGAGGAAGAAATTAATAGCCTACAAACCAAAGAAAACCCAGGTCCAGATGGGTTCACAGCCGAATTTTACCAGACATACAAAGAGGAGCTGGTACCACTCCTTGTGAAACTATTCCAAACAACCCAAAAAGAAGGAATTCTCCCCAAATCATTCTATGAGACTGACACCATCCTGATACCATAACCCCGCAGAGACTCAACAAGAAAAGAAGACTTCAGGCCAATATCCATGATGAACATAGATGCAAGAATCTTCAATAAAATATTGGCAAACTGATGGCAACAGCACATCAAAAAGCTTATCCATTACGATCAAGTAGGCTTCATCCCAGGGAGGCAAGGCTGGTTCAACATTTGCAAGCCTATAAATGTAACTCACCACATAAACAGAATGAAAGACAAAAACCACATGATTATCTCAATAGATGCAGAGAAGGTCTTTGACAAAATTCAACAACCCTTTATGCTAAAAACTCTCAGTAAACTAGGTATTGACAGAACATATCTCAAAATAATAAAAGCTATTTATGACGAACCCACAGTCAATATCATACTGAATGGGCAAAAACTGGAAGCATTCCCTTTGAAATCTGGCACTAGACAGGGGTGCCCTCTCTCACCACTCCTATTCCATATAGTATTGGAAGTTCTAGACAGAACAATTAAGCAAGAAAAAGAAACAAAGGGTATTCAATTAGGAAAAGAGGGAGCCAAATTGTCTCTATTTGCAGATGACAAGATTATATATTTAGAAGACCCCATTGTCTCAGTCCAAAATCTCCTGAAACTGATAAGCAACTTCAGCAAAGTCTCAGGATACAAAATCAATGTGCAAAAATCGCAAGCATTCCTATACACCAGTAACAGACTTAAAGAGAGCCAAATCAATAACAAACTGCCATTCACAATTGCTACAAAGAGAATAAAATACCTAGGAATACAACTGACAAAGGATGTAAAGGACCTCAAGGAGAACTAGAAACCACTGCTCAAGGAAATAAGAGAGAACACAAACAGATGGAGAAACATTCCATGCTCATCGTTAGGAAGAATCAATATCATGAAAATGGCCATACTGCCCAAAGTAATTTATAGATTCAATGCTATCCCCATCAAACTACCTATGACCTTCTTCACAGAACTAGAAAAAAACACCATAAACTTCATATGGAACCAAAAGAGAGCCTGCATAGCCAAGTCAATTCTAAGCAAAAAGAACAAAGCTGGAGGTATCATGCCACCTGACTTCAAACTATACTACAAGGCTACAATAATCAAAACAGCATGGTACTAGTACCAAAACAGAGATATAGACCAATGGAACAGAACAGAGGCCTTGGAGGCAAGGCCACATGTCTACAACCATCTGATCTTTGACAAACCAGACAAAAACAAGCAATGGGGAAAGGATTCCCTGTTTAATAAATGGTGTTGGGAAAACTGGCTAGCCATGTGCAGAAAGCAGAAACTGGACCCCTTCCTGACACCTTACACTAAAATTAACTCCAGATGGATTAAAGACTTAA